CCAAACTACCTCTGACAAACTCAGCTTCTTCCTATATTTTTCCTCCTTTTCCGTCAACTTACACTCTTCCTATATATAATTGGACCTTTCCACTACTTTCTCAAACACCCTGTTAGCACATGTTTAGTTTTAAGATTTACTTTGTTGTGTGTGAGGTAACAGCTCACAGGGGGATGCTTTCACTTGGAAATCCTGTGCATTCCTGCACTTATTCAACTAAGGGAATCTGTTACCTCCAGATCTAAATGCCTCTCAGAGTCTTTAGAGAGGGCTTACACCGCACTGTTCACAGGCAAGAAACGAGACCTCGAGGACTCCCTTCCTGGATCAGTAATTCACCATCCCCAGAACGCCAGCATTGCTGCTTTTGCCCCGGGGTGGACTTAAGCACTGGGCTCCAGTCAGAACTATTCTCGGATCTCAACGTCCTTTAAATCCTGCTAGTTAGTGCTTTGCTCTTTTATTATGATGTGTGTTTATGTTAGTGTTGTGCGTGTGTTTGTGTTCACAAACAAGGAAAACACCAGAAACATACATCTATCATCTACGTCTCTGCTGCTCCCTTTAAATAGAGGAAAACACGGAAAACATACGTGTATAATCTACGTCTTTCATGTTCCCTCTAAAACAAAAATACCACACGTCACTCCAATCCATGCACGATCAAGGCGTAGCTAATCTCAGGACCAAATCCTGGCTTAAAGTGCAATTAAAGCACCACTCAAGCTTCAGAACCCCGGGCGCAATTAAGGCCCACACCGATCCTGAGCCTCATGGTAAAGGTCCAAACTCATTCAGAAAACTCCACGCACATTTAAGGCATACACCAGTTTCGAACACCTGCACACAATACCGCGGATCACCGCCTGCCAGACCAAATTCTGGACTTACAGCCCACCACCCATTACATACACCGGTGTCTTCCCCGGGCCAGAGGTATCTAGGAACTCATGTTTACTCCATCATCTTGGGTGATCCTCGCAGGGAGCAGAGACTTCCCAATCGGTCAGACAAGAGAGTCGGGACTTTTAATAGAAGAGGAGTCCTTACCTTTTAGTAATGTGTGCGCTGACCGTCTCTCCTGCCGATGGGAAGTTCTGCACCTTCTGCAGTATCCGCCGACTACGCCAAAATTGTTGTAACAGAGAAAATAAGTTCTGGATCCCAAGATTAAGTTAAACAGATGAGTTTATTGCATGCAAGGAACAATAAAACCAAAGTCTTGTTCCTGCAAGGAACAACAAAACCAAAGTATTGTTCAAAGTACCGGCACAAAACTTTCAGTTTATATAGCCCTTTCCTGTCGCTCCTGACATAGCTCATTATTATGGTAAAGGGGGGAGGTCACTGTATGTGGACAGTTCACAGACTCTTGGCCAAATGGTTAGGGTTTTAGGTTACCTTCCTTGGGGGTTTCCTAGCTGGCATCTGGAATCCTTATCAGTTATCCCCTTCTTCACATCTTGTGTCTTCAGTTAATAAAAATGGAACATAAATGTCTTTTCATGTTTATTTTGGTATCCTGTTATCTCTTAGATTTTATAATTGGATAACATATCAAATATAAATCATTGAGCTACTCCCTTATCAGAAAATCAAAGTATGTATTGTATTTCTTAATTTAATAACTTTTCATGAAACCTGATTGATGGTATCCACTTATGTAAGACCATGAAATGTTCTGAATGCACACAAAAACTGTGTGTCACTTTTCAGTATGATGAACAGTATTAGGTCTGTTTGTGCTGGTTTGTGTCATTAAAACATGTGTTTGTAATGCTTGTAATGCTTTCTGAAGTGCTTTCTGAAGTATAGCACCTTTTTGTTTGGGGGGGGTTCATGTCCTCACTTAGCCCCTGAGAACAGTGCAGGAGAATCGAACTGGTCTCACTCCATTAGTCTACATAGAACATAGTGACCAATGTCCTGGTACGTTTCCATGTTAGTGTTCTACAGTATATTGGCATTGCATAAAAAAATACAACATGTACAACATGATGCAACAAGTGCAACAATCATTTTATTTGATGAAATTGTTTGTCGCTAGTACATTATGCATGCAGTATGATTAGCTCAGGAAAGCACTAATGGTATAATAAGCATTTAATATTGTGGCAATTTGTATAAAAGCCACACTCAGCTACACTACTTTAAGGATTTTGTGCAAATAAGCCACAAAGAAATAAAGTTTACAAATGATAAAAACTATGCCTGACTGTAGTTTTCTACAGTATCCAATCCAATGAGAGGTTTTTGACATAGAAATGAAGATTCACTTAGGTTATTTACTGCATTTTATGACTGGGGCTGGCTTATTGTTTTCAAAGGAAAGATCACAATTCCTGATAACACTGATAACATTTTCCACACTAAAGTGTTAAGTTAGACATTGTAAATCTGTGAGAAGTTTTTTATACATGCTTTGTGGGCTGTCATTTTGTAGTCAAGATCTTTTACACATAATCACACAATGTCACCACATGTACAGGTTTGAATAAACTCAAACTCCATCTACAGGGTACAGATCAAACTGTTATGGATCTTTTCTAAGTGTGAAGGGCATTTCTTGGAAAACTTGCCATTTTGTGGAGTGTACATGCTAGACCTGGCATCAAAATGTTGTCCTATTTTTTTCCATATTTTGGCCCAATGTTTTCTATTCTGATTAAACCAGACAGCTCTGATACCAGATTTGTCAGTGTTTCAGTGGTTGGGTGTTGAGGATTCTTAAACACACCAAAACTAAGTTAAATTTAAAGTCAACATTCACTTGATTTTCATTTTTGGAACTTCAATAGTGTCTTAAAGAAAACATCTAAATATGTCAAACATTTGGTATTTAGTTAAGGGTGAGATTTCTCATAACTTTCACTTTGTTTTCCCTTAGAAATCATGGCCCCCTTAATAATCCCCATTTATGAATTGGCTTCATTACTCTGCGCTCCTCCCCACTAATAGCTAATGTATGGTGCTACACATTGGTGGTGGTGGAGGGGAATCCCCATTATCTGTAAAGCACTTTGAGTGGAGTGTCCAGAAAAGCACTATATAAGTGTAAGCAATTATTATTATTATTATTATTATTATTATTATTATTATTATTATTATTATTATTATTATTACCTCTTTTAACAATTATTTTCAAACCTGAGTCAGTTCTTTGTCCCTCTCATAGCTGGTTAACAACTGAACGCTCAGAGATTCGCATGCTGCTTAAAGTGTAAAAACTGTAAAAGAGAAATGATCCTATTACATGCTTAAAGTTCTTTGTAGACATTTATAATGCTTTAATAATTTTATATATTATTATATTTTAATATTATTAAAAATGTAAGTATATCAGTGATAGACAATAAGAAAGTATCAGTCGGATGCAAAACTGAAAATGTACATGAGAAAACTGCTGGGATGCCTTTTCTGAAATTATTTTTTTTTCTGGAACTCTTGCAATAGATTCTAAATTTTAGAAAAGACAGGATTCTTTCAAAAACACCATTTATTTACAATACACTAAAATCAAAATAAAATACCAGACACATTACAGCAATTAATCCTTTATCATTGTATAAACAGAATGAAATTAAACTTTCCATTTTATAGATTAAAAATAATTCAACACATTACATAGTCTACATCAAAACCATAATTAGTCTACATACAATAGTTGTTAATATATTAATATCTCAGTTAAAAAGGGTGTAAAAAGTATATATCAATGCAAAATTCAAAGAAAAGCCTTAACATTCTAAACTTTCTCAAAGATATTGCTGTTTTAAATATAAATAACAATGATCAATTACTTCCACCAAAGAACTTAAACTCAAAAATGATAAATCCTTAATAAAAAGACTAATAACAGTTTCATTCCACAGGTAAAGAACAATACATAATGTTTTAGTCATAACTGTGCTTACTTTACACAATTCCATCATATTTTGCATTTTAAAATAAGTCACGATGGCTATGTTTTAATACAACTGGTGCTAAGTATTATTTTGTACTTCTAAAAAACAAATGCATTTCACACAGCAGCATCTACAGATGTTAATTTTGTAAGTATGCACACATTAACAGAAATTGTAGAAGCTGCCAGATCCATGATGCAAAATAAGCACTGTTTGCCACTTTTAATTGATAACTAGGATAAAACAGATAAAAAAACATGGGAGTAAGACATTGAGGATTCTCACATATCTTTGATGTTGAGAAAACTGAATTAAATCTAGCTGAAGCAACAGTAGATCCTATCTTGTTGTGATATTTTTGCTACAGATACACACTCATTCATAAGGCAGATATCCCAGAAACCAATTAAACTACCAGTATTTTTTTTGTATTGTAGGAGAAAATTAGAGCCCCAGGAGGAAATTCACATGAACACAAGGGTACTTACAAGCTCCATGCAGATAGCACCCGTCTCAGAGGTGAATGCAGTGCCCCGGTGCTGCAAGGCAGTAATGCAAACCACTATGCTACCATGTTGCCCCTTCAGTGCTTTATAAATGTTTGCTCATATACTCACGTACATCGTAGAGATTGGAGCTAGTGGTGCTTCCAAGAAATTTACCTACTCACAACATTCAAGCTCTATTCATTATATCTCTGGCAAACCAACCTCAACTTCTTCTGAGATAGAATGCTTTGTCTAGGAGGAAAAAATAAACACACCTACAATGTCCGAGAGTTGATGCAACATTCTGAATGTGAGAATCTATCTGCCAGAATATTAGAAAGTAGCCCCTATTTCAAGGGTGTTGTGCAGTAGTTTTAGCTATAACATTTTGCAATATTGATTCCACAAAACGTTCTAAATTATCAATGGAGATTTGGGACATCTTGACTAACAATGGTTGATACAGTTCTGAGATCTGGATAGCAGCTCAGTAGCAGTGGTATGGGTTGTGATGATGGCTTTGGATGTCAGTAGAAAGGGTAGCATTACTATATTTGAGAATGTTAATTGCAATTCTGACTAAAAGGGCTCAGGTGACTGAAATTTCTCACCAGACACCTGGGAAGAATTTATTCTTTTTCAAGGTTCTTATCAGACTGGCTCTGATCTCTTTAGTTCTCAGGCAGTAAATGATGGGATTCATGAGGGGAGGGAAGACATTCTGAAACACTGCCCCAAAGATTCGCAAGTCCACAGAAGCCTCAGGAATCCTGTAGGAGATGTAGACACCTGCTGCTGTTAGATAGAAGACAGAGATGACCAGCAGGTGTGAGCTGCATGTGGAGAATGTTTTGATCCTCCCCTCAGGACTTGAAATATGGAGAACTGATTTAACAATCTTCAAATAGGAAAGGAGGATGAAGAAGACAGGGATCAATAACACACACATAGCAACAGCTAAAGCCACATAGCTGGTCAAGACAATGTCTGCACAAGCCAAGCGTAACACTCCAGAAAAATCACAGAAGCACTGTAAAACTTTGTTAGGTCCACAGTATGGCTTTGTCATACCCATAATGACTGGAGATAGTGGGCAGAGGAATCCTCCCAGCCAGCTGATAATAATGAGTTTAAAAGTGAATTTAGGGCTCATCTTGATGGGGTAATGCAGTGGGTGGCAGATGGCAAGGTATCTGTCATAGGCCATAATCAAAAGTATAAAGCATTCTACGCAGCCTAAAGCCAGGAAGAAATATGTTTGGATGAAACAAGCTGGTAAGGGAACAGCATAAGAAGCGGACCTGAACACATTTAACATTGTAGGTACAGTGAAGGTAGGAAGAGTTATGTCAATGATGGCCAAATTGCATATTGTCATATACATGGGAGTGTGTAAGCCTGCATCTGCCGCAAATATGCCAATAAGAAGAAGATTCCCTAATATAATTATGAGATACAATGTGAGGAACACAGCAAACAAGACAGACTTGCTCTGAGAGTCCTGAAGTCCTGGGAATCCAACAATAATAAATTCTGTGACCCTTGTTTGGTTTATGTTATCCATGGCTAAATTATTCTGAAACATGAAATAAGAAAAGACAAGTTTAAAGTTACGTCTTCAAAGACAAATTTCTATAGCAGTTTTTATTTTTAGCAACTTTTATCAGAAGATGTAATATATGATACTTTTATTGTTTCTAAGGACATCCATTGGTTCCACATCTTCATAGTAAATCAATATTTATCACTAGATAATAATACAGAATTATCCTGTCAATTAATGTAGGAACTATCGCATTAGATCCAGAATATCAATTTTATCTGCTACATTTAACAGTTAATAGTCAAATTGCAGTGAAGAAAGTTGCCAAAAAGTGACAGTGATATATTTTTTTTATTTTTATTTTATTTTTGTATTTTAATTATATATATATTTATTATCCTTGCAAAGTATATGGGCTGATGAACTGATTAAAAAATATCAATGATATTATTCAAACAATAAAACTGAAAGTATTGCACTCAGCAGTATTAAACAGGTATACAGTAGCTGAAGCTTATTCACCGTCAAGCAAAATAATTTTTGAGCAGTCACCCTTCTGTAATGCAGAAACCAATCAATACTAATGTTCTTCTGAAATATTCCCTTTTTTGAAGCTTTACAGGTCTATGCTAATAAATCTAATCTGCATTTGTCAAGGAACACCTGAAGGTGAGTTGGTTAGAGTTGTTTAGCAAAGGTTTTATCCTGTTAAGTACTGTACCTGAGTAGCTACAACAGAACCATAGTGAGCAAACTTAGGACAGTGTCAAACTAATTCACATTGGTCATAATCTTGACAACCTTTATCACTAGTGCTCAAGGTAAAGTATAAATGAGGATGCAATTTCAAATGCTAAAGTAACTAAAACATACTTAAAAGCATAACAATGCATAATCTCTCAAGGCTTTTGCAAAGCAGTATCTATTGGTTTATAAAAAATGTCAAATAATTGAGCTTAAAAAAACACAAAAAATGCTAACAAAAATACTAGTATATTAAAACATATCCATTAACAAGTATGCCTATGCACTTAATCAGTTCTATAAAATAACACTGTTTTGATACAAATTAGTGGTGATGTAAAGAAATAAATTTAATCCTCTGAAAAACTGTACCATATTGCATTGTATTCCATAGTCATTTACATCAATTTGTAATCCTATTTATTTTGTTGATACCATGATTTTCACATATAAAAAATAACTGTAGCCTACACATTGTGGAGATTATTCATTCTCTGCAGTTAGAGCAAAATTGCTCTAACTTTGATTCTTAAAAATAAAATGCCTTCTTCATCACAAACAGAAACAGTTTAAAAGCTATATTTCTCTATTCTGATGCAGAAAAATACTCACTTACCCTCTGTGCATTACTTCAACTAAAGTTCGGCATTATGGGTCTGTATTGAATAAAGAGTTTTATGTCATTTATGAATCCTATGGGGCTCCAAACACTACACCTCAGAGGTGATTCCAGTCATCAGAAAAAGTCATTAGGCAGACTCACAGAGGACAAACAGTTCCCTCTGAGGACATTTACAGGTATAAGCTACAATTCTGCCTTTGAGTCATCCCATGAAAATAGAAAGGAAAAAGAAAACCCATCATGCATTGTAATCATATTCTTTTTTTTGTGTACAGTTTGTATAAAACTTCAATAGCAGTACAGATTTCAAAGTAAACATCGGCAGAAACAAATAAAAAACAACAGAATAGAAGTTAATGTTGCCTATTTCTACCATTAGTGTTTCTCGTTTATTAATATTTTATTTTGTTTTCCACTGTGATCTTTTCCTTCCAATATTGAAGGGAAAATGACAAGGAAAAGGAAAACGGGTATGGGATGTGGAGTCTGAGCCGTAGTGGATGAGTGAGTGCCCAAGATGGATGGACTAAGCTAATTTCTGATTATTCTTTAAACAAATTTTAACATGGTACAAAATTAAGTCTGTTGCCGTTCATCTTTGCTAAACATGATTGATTGCTGAAATATTTGGTTGCCTGAGAAGATTAAGATATCATAATGCCAGTAAGGTCTGACGTAGAGCTCACAAGCAGGTGTCAGGCAGTGGTGAGTTGGGAAACACCAAAAGAAAAAGGGAAAACACAAAGAATAAATTCAACACTCAGGGCCGCAGAGCAATATTGGCAAGGAGCAAATTTACTTTGGTAACTTTTGTGCTGAAATACAGATGCAGCCATTCAAAACGGGTGGGGTATTTCACGGTATACCGCGGTGGGCGTGTCGCATCAAAACGTGGTATCACGCAGTGTATCACGTCATTTGACGTCATGCCGGAAAGTATCCGGAATCGCCTTGTAAAACTGCCAGGAGGAGCCAATAAAGCTTAATCTCTCATGTACAGCATTTGAGCTTTTAAATTTAAACTGTATATTACAGCATGTTAATCATCAGTCATTAAAAAGTTGGTATATTTTATGAAAGCAAGATTGCTCAGTTGGACAAAAGTACAGAACCTACCTTTATCATAAACATTATAATTATGCAGAAATATTTTATGCATCAAAGCCTTTACCGAAGATATTACTAATAGTATTAATAATGAATGACTTTGGACAAGCTGTAAACTCAAAGTATAACGCTGGTCCACATTATTTCTAACTGTCATTTTAAACGAAAATACTTTTATTTTTTTCTTTGACAAACACCACAGCATTTCGTTGATCTAACTAATGAGGACAGGACATTAGCTAGCCAATACGATAAAGGAATTACTTTTTTTGCTAATTTCTTTAGCACATTTGTACAAGCACTTGGAATCTGTCCAAGCCCTACTTTGTCAGGCATTTTCTTTTACTGTAACGGACATAAAAACTCCCTTGCTTTTAACAGAGCGTTTCATAATTTCTAACTACGAAAATTATTTAAACTGCGACACTTATCATTCAACTAGAGCTCAAAATATCACAAGGATGCTCAAGAGCACAACAAAGACTGTATTAAAAGATACTTGTATCAGATCCATGAGAATCCAAGCTTTTTTATCTACACTTTCTTTTCCGCATACCAGATATTATGGTACCACTTCAGAAGGGTGTCAGCCAGTCAGATTCCAGGAATTGGTACTTTAAAGAAAAAATACACATCGGTATTCCATTTGTCCCTAAACATTTTAAGCATCGAAGTCTTTAACTAACATGTGAAATAACGTGTAAAATGCTAATATAATATGGAATTGCATATCTAAAGAAATTAATAACGATATCATTATATTCATGTACTGCAACACAGTAATACACGCTGAACAATGTCTGTTGACTCTGTATGTAGCCTGCTGGTCTACGTGCTTGATTAGTAACCCTCAGGTTGTGTGTTCAAATCCAGCCGGCGCTGTGACTTTTTTTTTTAACAAACATTTCTTTGAAAAAATAGAATAGCAATATTATGGACAATTAATTGACTTTTTATATTTCTAAATATCAAAACATGATCAAATTTAAGTCATTTTTAATAACAATGAATAGCCACCTTCTTTCCTTCTGATAACTGTCCCTGCTTCTGCTTCCTGCTTCTATCGTGTGTATGTGTGTGTGTGTGGGGGGGTTATCCCTTTAGGTCTCCCATCAGATTTAAAAGGTTATTAATCATATGTTCGGTGTCACATCTTCCTAGTGTAGCTGATCTTTTGCTGCCTGGGTAAACTACCACAAACCTTTAGAGAATTTAACATTTCTATTATCAACAAATTGTAAATACGATGTTTACATTGGCATTATTAATTTTTCACTTGGGTGTATAGAGGATTGTCAGTGTCACTGAGAGTAGACCCCCCTCTAAGGCTGCGCAAATTATCTTTTACATTTTTATAGAGAAATGGAGGCTGTACAGTATGCGTTACAATATAAACATTTATATTGATTTAAATCGCAAACGCATGTTTAATTATATGTGTTTTTTGATTCACAATCAGACAAATGCAACATCTTCTAAGTATCTCAATAAACTTTCAGCATAGCTTTCTCCCCATTTGAGTTATTTTTCTTGGGATTTTGGGATCAAACGTGGAACGATTAGATAGTAATCGTTTTTATTTTTAAATACATTTTAGAAAATTGTAATCTATACTAAAAAGCTGTACACCACATGTTATATAGATACATATTGTAATACTTTCGGGTTCGGATAGGACGGACACAAGAACTCAGACTTGTGGAGTTAAAGGTGCCTTTATTTTTCTTCTCCATCGCCACCTGCCAGCCCGGCTCTCCCGCGCCCCCAACCAGAGACAGACAGCACCCGCCCACCAACAGCGC